GATTCAGTAAGAATGCCTAAGTGATGCCCTGAAGCATTTCTGTCATACTACAGTATTGAAAAAGGGGACTTAAGTGCCCAAAATAGACTGGACTCTCTCTGATGATTCCCTGTTCATTTCTTAATAGGCCCCTTATGAAAGTCACGTATTTTAACTTGAAATTTACAACTGTGGTAAATCGTTAGCCAAGCAGAAACACCATTTTTAGAGCTATGGCTCCGTGTTGGTTTAACAGCTGCAGTACTGTGTTTCCTGGTCCTGATAGTCCCCTTCCCTGCTTCTTTTCCTTCCTTGCATATTTTGTGAATCGATTCTCCATCACTGGCCTATGACTTGGCCAAATACAGAAGAAAGGTGGAAGCCTGGTTACCTGAAGGCAATATGCTTCTAATGGAAAAATTATTATTTCCCATGAGAATATGTCTGTGTATATACATATACATGCATATAGAATTTTTTTGAGATTTAGTACAACACATAGAATTGTTTCTTGAGTGCATTTAAAGGAGTAGCAGTCATAATAGTAAGCAGCAGAGGAATCTGTTTTTAAAGAGAGAAAAAAAGACCTCTTTCCATAGCATCAACAGTTTTATAAAGCCCTTACAGACCATATGATGTCTGATAGCACCAGAAGAGTTAGCACTCATGCAGATGTCACTCACGTGTGTGTTTTTGCATATTTTCTTCCAATATCTTAATATGCGTTACTTGAAATGATGCAGTGAATACCTTTCTGTGATTTTATATAACATTAATGGTGGATGTATGACACTGAGTGCAGATGAAGACAAAATATATGAAGCATCCTTTTTTCCCAGGACTGAAAGGTTAGAATGCACTGTATTGATCACTGCAGGAAGAACCAGTGGTGTGAACAGTCTTTGGTCTTTGTGTTGACTGAAGTTACTGGAGAGAGAGTAACATAACTGGAATGACACCTGGGAGAAAGCCCAGGATATATTGATGGCAATAGGATGTTCTTCAATGCCTGTTGAATCATGTTGCTCAGAAACGGGAGACCAGGCATCAAGGGAGAGCTGACCACAGTCAGCAAATAATGATTTAGAGCATTCTTAAATCTTGCAGGCTTAATAATTATGTGTGATTTCCATATTGACTAAGTACTACTACTGTAGGAAACAGGGTCAATTAATTTCCAAGTAGGTAATGGGTTTTCCATTAAATTTTGCAATGTGTATTGTAGTACTGTGAGTCGTATTTCCAATAATAATAGTATATTGTGGTAACCCTTTTTTGTACACAGTATTCTTATAAAATCTTGCAATAGGGATGAATTAATTTGCATTGCTAAGCAGCACTAAAGCAGGGCACTCTTCCTACTGAAAAGTTCTTGAAATTCAGGGGAAAAAACGATTTTAGTGGCTATTTGTATAGTCTATGTGGGAAAATCTAATTTTTAAAATCTAGAAACACAGCCATTCTAAAGATCAAAGTGCAAAGTTTAATTAAGCATTCAAAACTAGATGACTAGTTTCAAATTTGCTTTTGTTTTTTAGTGTTAATATTCCCCAAACATCTTATTATCCCAAGCAATGAACATAAATCAGTTCCTTTCTGTAACTGTCCCTAATGATATTAAACTTAGCTTCTATTTGGGATTGTGCTTGACAGTTGTCTTCTGAAACATTTTTTGCAAAATTCAAATAAAGGAAATGAAACAGATGTAGGATATATAGCCATATCAAATTTAAAAGCCTGAAATTCATCAACTGCATTGAAACATGAACAGATTTTAAACTTAAAAACTCCCATCTAGGCTTTGAAATGCACTGAGCTTGATTTCTACGTGGAGCAGCTTTACCTGGCTGTAAAATGCTTGCTTGGTTATACTACTGTGATTATCAAATGATGCCAGCAAAGCAACCCTTACAGAAGAAGTCCACATTACATACCGTGAAGGCCATTACAGAAAACTCCAGGTATAGAAAAGCAGCACAGATGTGCCATCTAGCAGTAACTCTCTGAAAAGTCCTAATCTTGAACAGTTTCTTCTTTCAAGATACTTCTTTTAAGAGTAGGAGAAAGGAAAGACTTTACATCAAAGTCCTTTCTCTTTAGCTGGCTTCCTGCTAAATGTCTAGCCACTCTGCTGGAAATAGACCTTTAATGAAATATCATGAATATTTTATTTTTATTTTTTCTATGTAAATACAGAGAAAGAAATAGAATAAAGTTAAAAAATATAACATTTAATAAGTATCTTAAAATGATACTCAGTAATTAGCACTAAGACTGTTAAAATTTATCATTAGTGAACTGTCTTCAACTTATTAAAGAAACATTTCCTCACCTGGTCAATATTCTATATCAAGGTTATTAGCAAAAAAAAAAGAATTCAAAAGCATGGGCAATAAATTACTGTGGTTAAAATAAAATGTTCATGCTCCAGAGATTGAAGAATAAATTATATATAAATTTTTGTTACATATTTTACCATAAGATGGCGATACTTAAACACTTCACTATTAGTAAATAACTGAGTATGTTTAGCACAACATCCCTGTCGAAATAGGAGTGCCTGTGGACAGCAGTCTTGAGTCAGTGATGGCCTGGTATTAAATAAAAGCTTTTTTATTCCCCCAGGCATTATTTTAAAATAACTGATCAGTAAAATAAATTATTACCTGAAAATTATGTGGGACATAAATAGGAATGTATTGTGTATACTTGAAATGTCTGATGAGATTTATCTCCATAAGCTGAATAGTTTGGGAGTGTCAAGGGCATGTAAAAAGTTGTCTGTCTAGTCATGAGCTTACTGCACAAAGAAAGAATTAAACATCCCCTTGTTTCCTACAATTAGCTTTGTATGATATATATTTGCTTCCTAACCTGCAGAGCAGAAAATTATTCTATTTCAATGTAGCATAAAGCAAGATAAATAATTGAGTACTTAGTTCCATTTTAAAGTGAGAGCTCAGTCAGAACTTGTGCTTTTTTGCTAAAAATAGCCTGTAAACATTTTTACACATATAATTTGTCACAGAAATATGAAATGTTTTGTTCATAGTGAACAAAATTAATTGTGTGCCATGTGGATTCTTTTTTATGCTTAATGTGGTGTAGCATCAATTTGATTTCAGTTTTTTTTATGAAAACCCAGTTTAGACAGACACCAAATTTTGACTAAGGATTCTAATTTTAATCTAATCTTAAGGCCTTTTTTTTTTTTTTATTCCTGACCCTTGACAAAGTCAAAATAGCCAGTAAAGAACATTGTAATATCCCTGAAAATGTCACACAGAGTGATGAATAAAAGGCCATTTTCATGCCTTCTGCACAGTATGCCAGAGCAAAAAGGGCTGGAAGCAAAGTTTCAAAAGTTAATTTATGCCACTTCATTCCAGTGCCTCGTCCTGGTTTTCAGTGCTGGATGGTGACAGACACATAAGATGGAACAATTCTTTCCACTATTATTTCAGAGCCTGAACTAAAAGAATAATACTACCAGCTGTTTGTTTCACTAGTGATTCTGCTCTCCTGTGGACAGAGAGCGATACAAATTTTGCCTTTCCCGCTTTCACGCAGTGTCTCTAAGTATTTAACTTTATAGATCTCACAAAGGGTAACAGAAGACAGAAAAATAATGAAAATGAGTGTGTGGAAACCTGTAATTATAATGTGGCCATGTGCTGCTATTTGCACAGATGTGAAACTCCTGTGCGTGCGCTGCCTCATGACTCTCTACAGACACAGCAATAGCTGATGCTTTCAAATAGCTCCTATTTAATAGAACTGATATAACTGATTTCTTAGGTAATGTGAATCCTCTATCACCTCCTGCTTTTTTAAGTTATCGCTGTATCTTACTGATTGAAAAGCAGGATGAATACTGCATCCATAAATCAGGATTCCACTGACTTGCTTTTTAGATTCTGTTTTTATGTTTTTAAAGAGCAGTGTCCTTTCCATATTGTTAGAAATTCAGTACATACTTGTATTTGAATAATATCTTTATTTTAAAGGAAAAACCTGCCAGAAGAGCTGAACATTGCCTCACGTGGTTGTCTGGTACATAAATGGTATCGTTAAAATGACATTCACCAACATACAATATAAACTGTGGCAACAAGGTACAGACTGCTGCTGGTAATAGACTGCAATACTATGAGAATGTTTTCTCAATGCTCACAGTTACAAGACTGCACGCCACCAAAAAGGCTAATGAGACAAGTTCTACACCTATAAAATACAGCACTACAGACAGCTGCAGACCTAGGGGCTTTCAGTCATTACTGCTCTTAAGTGGTATAGTCCAATTCCGATTTTTTAAATGACCTAATCTAAAATCTCTGTCACAAGCCAGGTTGCATGGCTAAAACGTATTATTTGCTTTTATCACTCCTTCAGTATCAGATGTGATCTTTTGGTGACCTGAACACAGCCGAAAATAACGAAACTCTGCAGCAGACCCGAGCGTGGCTATAGTACTAAATCCAGTGTCTTCACGTGATGCCTCCGGTTGCACTCTAAACAAATTCATTTCCATTCGGAGGCTGTCGATCCCTGCTTCCAGCGCATCGCTGCTTCCCCGGCACCGGTGCAGTCACCCAGCGCTGTGAACGCCTCTGTGCCCTGGGTGGGCTGGGTGGCCGCTCGTTCGGGCTGTGCAGCTGCCGGCCTTGGACAGCTGCGGGCCTCGGGCAGCGGGGAGCTCTGCGGCTCCTGCGTGTGGCGGTGCGGGGGTCGCGGGCAGGTGCGGGCTGTGCCCGCTCTGCGCTCCGGGGCCGTGGGCGCCGCCGCATCGCGCCCGCAGCTCCCTGACCGCGGGCGGCCGCCCCACCTCGGGTCGGCAATCCCGGGGCCGGGGACAGCCATTCCCGCCACGAGCTCTCCCGCCTGGCCCATCGGACGGCCAAGGACACGCACCCGCCTCTCCCCGGGGCCGCCCAGCGCATCGCCCGCTACCGCATACGCCGTGTGCGGGCCGGCTCCGCCGCTGCGGGGCCGGGAGAACTTGCCGCCCGGCCGGCTCCTACCTTGGAGGGATTGAGGCCGGCCAGCAAGGACAGCAGCAGGAGGTTGAGGATGCTGGCGGCCGCCCGCATCCTGATGCCGGGGCTGCCTCTCCGCGCCGCTCCTCTCGGTCATTCACTCCGCTCCCGCTGCAGCGACCGCGCCGGCAGCCGCGCTCCCTGCCCGCCCGTCCGAGCCCGACTGGAGGCGGCAGCGGCAGCAGCAGCAGCCGCCCGGGGAACGCTCATTCCGCGGGCAGCCTCGGCGCGGGGAGGGCGGGCGAGGCCGGCGCTGCCCGAGCTGCCGGAGCGGCTCCGCGGCCCCGTCCCACCCCCGCCCCTCCCCTCCGCCCCCGGCCAGCCCACCGCCAAACTTTGGGCCCGGGAGACGGCGGAGCCAGCGCGGCTGGACGGGCACGGGCAGCGGATGTGACATCAGCGCCGCCGGGAGGGAGCGGGCGGGGGGCGCCGGGGATGCGGCGGTGTCGGGGCTGGGGCCAGGGTCGGGGTCGGGGCCGTGCTGGGCTGAGTTGGAGGCTCAGGACAGCCGTGGCCGGGCTGCAGCAGCGCGGCGTGCCCCGTGCCAAGGGGCGGCTCGCCGGACCCCCTCACCCGAACTCCGGGTTGTCCCCCCGGCAGGGGCCGGCGGGGCTCGTCCCTCTGTGAGGGCACAGCGTGCGGCCCACGCCGCTCTGCGCTCGCTGCAGGCGGGCAGGGGCGGCTCTCGGGAAGGGAGCACCTGGCACCGTGGCAGCGGGAAGGGGCGAGGGTGGGCTCAGGGGGGAGCTGCGGCCAGAGGGGATCCCACCCGCTCGCTCCCCCACCTAGAAAGTTAAGTCAGGGCTTCACAGCCCTGGTGAGGGTAAAGCCAGCTCTCTGCTCCCCAGCTGGAGCGTGGGCCAGCAAGGGACCACCATGGCTCCTTGGTTTGGCTGAGATGGGAAAGCCTGTGTAGGTGCAGGCTGGTGGAGGTCATTGGTTGAGGAATCCCTTGAAAGCCTTCCCAAGGACATGTAACGTGCAATAAAGTCTCTTTTCATCACCCAGCACCTTTGCAGTCAGACAACGCTGCTTTGCCAGCCGAGGCTCGGGGTGAGCTCCTCTTCGCCTGTGTAGCCCAGTTTCCCAGTACAGGCTTGGCGTCTTCAGGGACTCACATTCAGCACAGCTGAGTATGGACCAAGTGAAAATAACAGCACTGTTGTGTTAACACGGGCAAAGTGTGTTAATGTTTCAATTATTTTCCCTTAGAAGACTCAAGATCTATGGGCAGGGTAGTCTTATGGCATAGCCAAGATTAATATAAAGGCAATTTTCAGCTTTGCAGGGTAAAAATGCATTAGCTTTACAGTTAGCAATTTTTTGGTCTTAACTAGATTCTCTGGGGTCTAGGTTGTGTGCTTTTCCAGCAGCTAGCACAGAAAGACCAACACACTTGTGCTTTTTTTTTTAGGTGCTATATAATGTTAACAAAGAAAAAAATGAGCTTAAAATATCCTCAAAAAGAAAAACTTGTGTAGGGAAACAACCCCCAAACAAAACAAAACAAAAGAAAACAAAACAAAACCCTAGTCTTGAAGAGGGTGTTTTGGTTGAGTGTGTTATTTAGGATAAGTGTGGACAGGACATGATTTTCTCACTACTTCTGAGTCTACAAGATTGGTTTCTTTTGCCTTCAAGAGCTAAGACCACTGCTGAAAGACAAATGGAGCAGAAACTGTTCTGCTTTCAGGCTATCTGAGAACATTGCATGTCCTTGGCAGAGTGTTCCCAGATCAAAACTGATGATTTTTCTTATAGTGTTTTATTATATATTTGAATTTCTTCTTGGATTAAAATAACTAGATTTTCTTTTGTGAGTGGATTAACATTTATATTTTATGCTAAGATACCTTAGACATCCCCTCTTGGCCATCAGTATCTTTTACAAAGATACAGTCTTTAATTTCCGTGGAAGGTAGATCTACAAAGTACATTTCCTTATGACATGGAAAGGAAATTATAGAATTTATCAATGAGCTTCCATTGACATTCCAGGATCAACAATGGAAAGAGAATCCCCTCTGATACAGACACTATTGAATTAGCTTCTATGAAGAAAATATAAAAGATACAGAGAGGAGATTAGTTAATATTTTTTTTCTATAGAAAATATGTAAAAGTTCTATTTTCTGTGAAATAACACTAAAAAAATATAAAACCTGCATATATTTATATGAATTCAATATTAATTAAAATAAGGATACCAAAGCACTGAAAGCTTCAAGTTCTCCAAGGGACAAAGTGAATGGTATTTTCAAAAGAAACAATTTCCTATGTAAAAATAACATAGATTCTAATGCCACAAAGGCAGGATTGATGGTATTTAGATCTTTTCTAGAGCCCCTCAGTGACTAGTTCTCTAGCTTTCTCTACCTTTATTTTCTCCACACTTCTCTTCCCTTCTTTTTTCCTATCTGTCGTAGATACGTGTGTATGAACCATTTAATTAATCATAGAATGCAAACTTTTTGAGGAGCTTCAGTGATGCATTATATTTTTCCACTTCCTCATGATACTTGGAATATCTGTCTTTGAAATCAGTAAAATATGAAGAGTAGAGTTAAAAATAACACTAGTGATTCCCCAGGCCCCTTAAAGCATGAGCCTTCAGATCTCCTGAACTCATCAGGTACTTTTATGCGTTACAAATTAATAATTTGTTTGATATATGAAGAGGTACCAAAATATATTTCAAAAGGATAGGATAAAGTGACCCAATTATTTTCTGCTTGATTTTAACAATCTATTAAGAAGAACACAAAAATATGTTATAGATTTATTCCTCCCCCCTCTTGCAACCTGACGAGTAATATTTTTTTTTTGCCAGAAAAGACCGTTTGAAGACTGCTTAGAATCACTAGCAATTGGTATCTGAAATAATTGCGTTTGTTAAAGTGTACCTGAAAAAATAAAAAAAAAATTCAAGTCCTCATGAGAAGATTTATTTCTGCTGTATGCCCTGATGGTGAAGATCTCTCCCTAACAAAGCTTTCAGTCATCCATAAAACCTGTGAAATTCTAGGTGGGTTGCATTTCTTGAGTTCTTTGTATGGAGATGGCTGCACTCAGGGTCAATACTTGGTTGTGATAGAAAAGACAAGGGATATCAAAAGCTTTCCTGCAGGCCTCAGTGCCAGACTATTGGCAAAATGGTGGCACACACTGAACGCAACTTGTCTAGATAGAGAAGGATATTCTCAGTGTGTAGCTGAAGTTACAACTATTTTTTTTTCACACCATATTGCAAGATGTATTGCTGGCACTTGGAATAAGACAGGTACTTGTTCACTTGGGTACACAGAAATTGATAAATGGGATGTAGGTACCAAATTATATATAAATAATTTCAAAGGTTTGTGATCTGAGTTTGACAACTCGAAAATACTGATGGGAGTTATGCAAAAGGACAACATTTATATGCATCTATAGAAAGATAATCTTTATTTATGGCAGGTGATGTCTGAAAACTTTTTAATTGCAGTGCTATCGAATATTTTTTGTAGACAAGAAAACTTTTCATGAAATCAGTCTTATACTTAACACTTAATATTTCATGAGTGCTGAATTTTCTACTGAGTTGGGAGAGTGGTCCAGATTTGGAATTCTAGGCATTCTGAGAATGAAAAGTTTAGGGAATCAGAGAAAGATCCTTGCTGACATTAACAAAGCTGAAATGTCCTTGAAGGTGATAAGTGTGTCTTTCATTACAGAAAAGATTTTGATGTCTCAGTGAGACTAAAGAGAGAGTAAAAAGATACAACCAAAATTAAGCTGTCAATGATACAGAAGATAACTTTCATGTGTTGTATTTGATTACATTTGTAAAGAACAGGAGAGAAACAAAACACTTATAGTGTTGTTAAACCAGATGAATAGAAAATTAAGTAAAATACTAATTAATTTAATTTAGCCATTTGAAGGGTGTGTAGGATGTTTAATGAAATAGAGGAATACTGCACACATGCGACAAAGTTCAGGGCTATTATTTATATTTAGTGCACAACATAGCTATAGTATTTTCAGATTTACAGTTCAGTTGTATTTGCTTTTACATCACTGTATAAATATAAGTGGGAAAATATAATTAAAGATTACATCAGTGTGAAATGTAGGAATATCACTTTTACAAAGTGAGAGCATCTATAAAGAATGCTTATCTACCAAAGCTCACAAGCTTTCTGCATTGTCCCCTGCCAATATGAACAAGTACATTACAACACAAACCCAGCAAAGTAGCCTTTAAGTGTATTTTTGGTTATGTGAGATTTTTATAATTTTAAATATCATAAAACTTAAGGATTAAGATCCTCTTCTGCAAGATCAAAAAGTAAATTTATTCTTGATGAATGTTCTTAAAATTCTTTCTGATGATCTTAAAATTGCATGATCACAAAGAATAAGTGAAACTTGGAGAATTAAAGTTGAAATATGTTTTATTCCAGAATTCTGGTACAGATAGTAACATCTAGTCAGTTGTTTGATAGAACTTTGGGTTGTTTGACAGATTTTTAAAATCAAGAAGGTATGATTTCTCAGTATGAATAATGTGATTTTTAGACAATAAAATACTCGGCAATATTTACAGTTGACTATTACCTCTTAAAATACATAATTTGCAACCTGTCAAGTCACAATTGAAGTTGGGCTAAGTAGCTGATTAAGTCCCCAGGTAAATCTTAGGAATCTGTAGAATGTTTAATATTAAATATTTATTCTAATTTATGTATTTTTCATGTACTTTGCAAACACATACTGCAGAGGCAACAAAGAGCAGTATGCTGTATGATGACAAATGTATGAATTTACTTTGATAGTAATTCTCTAAACATTTACATGCAGGCAAAACTAGTTTGTGTCTCATAGCATATATATGAATATTTATTGACCAAAGTGTCATAGTAAAGAGGCTGCTTGCAATATTCCAGTGTGACAACATGATGCTTATGGGAATTGAAAGGACCAGGGTATCCTCAACTACTGCTCATTGGTGAATTCTCAGGGCTCAGCATCTTGCAGGACTGGGTCTCAGAATAATAAAATAATAAGGCATCATTACTAAAAGCTCAATTGCAATACCAGTCTTTGTCATAATCACTTAAGGTCACCAGTATTAGAAAAAAGTTTAGGTCATGATTGTAAATGATGGTGCAAACATTCTGATGGATTTTATGCTCTGTTCTGTTTTAAGGTTTTGAATGTTACCAGCACACCTGGTGTTTTTCCCCAAATGAAGAGTCTGTCTTCTGTGCAGAATTTCTACTGGAATGGAGAAAGGAAAGTTTGCATAAGAACTTGTCACAAAGACAAATGAGCTTAAGAGGTGGGTGCTTTCTGTAATACAGTAGTTAATTGCTTTGATTTTTAATAAGTTTCAGTTTTTAAAAGAACCTGGCGGTGTGGTGCTATTTGTGGTACTATTGCAATATTCATGGTTCTGTCTTATATAGCCAAGGGCTCACGACATAAATGCAGGCACTGTTAGGATATTTTTTTAATAAGTTGACATATATTTGATATTTTAATTCCAGCTGGATGTTAGAATAACTTACCTGAAAAAGTAATTGTTTAAGATGATGCTTACTGGAATCCTCCAGATGCTTCTGTAGGATTACATTTTGAATACTGATGTAGGTTCCTGGCTGTGAAAGGAGTTTGTCAGAATGCTCTGTCAGATCAGGTCAAGCAGGGAGACAGCTTTTTAAAAGGTAAATATTAGGAAGAGAAATATTTTAAGAAGGTATTTTGGTTTACTTCATATAGCATTTATTATGTTCTAAAGTGTTTCTAAAAAGTAAATTGAAAGGTCTCTTGACAATTATCAGGTGGTGTCTGCTCTTCTTAATCTCTGAGAAGATGATTCAGGCTATACACTGATTATCATGAGTGACAAGGCTCCAAAGTAGCTCCACCCAGGTCTCAAAGCAGTACAAGTGTGCTAGGAGTTGCACTGGCTGGGCTTAACAGCTCAGCTGCTTCTGCATCCCACATTGCACAGTGTCATTTGTTTTCTGTTTTCTCATTACAATATCAAATTTAAGATTCTCTAACTTGTGTGTCCAGCATATCCTATTCCATTTGCCCAGTGTTACCCCAAATGCTTGAGAGTGGGCTCTAGTATTGTTTTGATTTTACTCCTATCCTGTTGCACAGCAGCAACAGAGGGACAGATGAAATGATTCCTCTCATTCATAGCTTTGGCTTTGATGCTTGGTCAAAGTAAATACAGGGTCTCTTCTTTAGAGAAGAGAGTTTATTAAGGTTTTCTTCAATTTTCTGTAGGACATCAGCCCCTTTGTAAATTGTAGAGGGAATAACTTGGATTAAATCATCCATAATTGTAACAAAGCTGTGCTCTGGAGCAAAATGTCTTGTGTTCCCTCATACTGTGGTTTACATTCCAGTAATTTTGTTGAACTTTCAGAAGGCTATTCCTTATTTATAACTAGGGTGTCTAAAAAGTGAATCATACCTACCATATCTGACATTCAGGAGGCATGAAAACTGTGAATACCACACATTTTAAGACCTAAGGAAACCCTTTTTTGCTATTAGGACAGTCAAAGAGTGTAACAGGTTGCCCAGCCAAGGCAGCACCATCTGCATCATTGGAGGTTTTCTGGACCAAATAAAACTCTGAGTAGCCAAGTCTGACTTCCTGGCCTCCTGAGGTCTCTTCCAGCCTGAATTGTCCTATTGTCCTGTAACAGTGTGAATGGTGGTGATCTGCACAACTGGCTTGTCTCTTTAGCTGTGGGCAGGACTTGAAACAACCCACCTCATCCCTCGGTATAGCTGAGAAAAAGTAGGTTCTGTATTTCCTATCAGTGTGTATTTTTTTACCAATATGATGTATATTATATGGGTTTATGTGTATATATGTATATATTGCTATGTAGACCAATTTGATATAAATTGTAATTACAGGAACGGTAGTGTAAAAATTACTCAGTTTTCCAATCTGATGCGGTTTTATTAAAAATCATAAAGAAAAAAATTTATGTGGTTTTGGTAGACCTCTGCTTTTTTTCCAGAAGCTACCTGCAGTCTTTGTATGAATGGTATCAAACCTTATTATAATTAATTTCTTTAAAAAGTCACTTCTCTGTGCTGCTCCCTGACCACTGTTTTGCAGGAACTTCAGCTTATACATTATTATTACTTTCTTTTTGTCTCAAGCCAGAGGAGACCTCTTTAAATCAGAGTAATGGTGAGGGTTGACAGTGGGATACATAAACTGTGAACTTCCTTGCTCACATTTGAACTGCATGAGTGTTCATGTAAATCTAATGATCTTTTTGGATAGAACCAAGCTTCAGCTCTTAGGCAGTGGACTCAAAACCCAAGCTTTAATGATTTTTCTGAGATAGTCTCCTTTTTAGTTTTAAACCTGAGGGTGAAAAAAACCACGAGATACTACCCATTCTCGTACAGAATGTGAACAATCTTTATTTGACTTGTGAATGAGGGGTTTGGTAACATATTTTTTGGAAGGCAGCACAGCTTTTCTTTCAGAGAGAGCAGTACAAATCCCTTGCTGTCATATTCAGCAGATGGCAGCATGGATGTTGACTGGCTGGGTATCTGCTCAAATCTTTTAGCTGCCATACCATATTGACGAGCAGAGTAATTAATTTGTCAGTGTCTTTAAGGTCAATCACAGTGGAAGCTTTCAGTGTGTTAATATGAAAAATCATATTTACCCTGAGGGCACGCTGTCACAGCAGGTAGGAATTAATTGTGGAATTATATAATTTTCTCCCTAGAATACAACTGTGTTGAAAGAAGGAAAACATATAAAACCAGTAGAGCACAATTCAGGACCCCAGTGTTTGAAACACAAATTTAGCATTTCCACACGTGCATATCTGAGTGGTACCATGATCAGGGCCTGGAATTAGGCCATGAAAGGTTATGCAGAAAATAAAAAAAAGGAAAAAGAACAAGACCAAGCAAATGTTTGTGTGTGATTGCTCAATAGCAATACTGATGTCATTTGAATGTGGCCAGTTTTGTTTCTAATAGCAGATCAAGTGCGGTGTAGATGACATATTATCAAACTCCTGAATATGAGCAATGAAGGCATATGATAGCTGTGTAAAACAAATTACCATTTCAGGTAGAAAAAAACCCTTGGTGTTTCTAATCTACACAGAATATTGCAAGAGTGGTGTTTTTCACTGTAGTTTTCTTATCAGTCTTGCAGAAACAGGAATAAAGGGGTATGGAGTATAAAAATCTAGAGTGCTGTCTGAATTTTTCAGTTAAGCTGAATTTTGTCCAGGACTCTTAGGAGAGCTCTTATGGGTGAAAAATGCTATAGATTTTTGATTGTTGATGAATATTGGAAATATTATTTTTTAGCTGTTCAAGCAGCATTTCCTCTGTTTGTGTGAGTTTGTAGAAACTGAATTTTAAGGCCTGTTGGTGGTATTTGTGTAGACATGAAGATAAACTGGTATCTCACTGTCTTACATTTGTTTAAAAAGGTCAATGAAACATGAGATTCGTCTAACAAAAAGGGATCATTTTCATCTGACCTAAAAAAATCAGTCACATGGACTACTGTTAGTTTGTGTGTGCATTTTACTGGTTAAAATCAAGTAGTGTGTACCTCACAAGAAATCTTAAATCTAAAATTTGTTCAGAAAACTGTGTGAAAATTTCCCAGTGAGCAGATATTTTTATCTAGTTACAGATAATTGGCAATAAAGGAACATGCTATTTTTGCTCACTGATTTAATGAAAAAATTATTTACTGCAATTTAAGCACTTTCTGAAGCAGCAGCTTAAGTTGCTGATCCTGGAGAGATTTATATGCATGGTTATAAACATGGATAAAGTTTGTAGGAATATCAGCAAGTGAAGTTAATAGGAATGTTGCCTTTTTGTCTTTCCATTAGTGTGAAGTGGTGGCATTTATTATATTTTAAATGAAATGTGTTTGTAGATCTTTGGAAAAGTAGAATCTTAATTTATTTCTTTTTTCTTTTCCCAACTCTCAGAACAAAGTTCTAAACTAACCACTTTTGGTTGAGATTTTTTTGTGTTAAAAATGGATGCCGAAGACATTTGTAACTATACTGTACTTTCCCACTTGGTCACTCTTGGTTCCAGTTTGGCAGTGCAGTGTCTCAAGTAATTTGCCCCTTGATTCCCATCTCTCCTCATCTAGCAGACACACAGGCCGTTCAAATAAAAAGCAGGAGAGTTTCTTCAGCCATATTTTTGTGAACAGTGCTGTCAAACAATGCAAATATTGTAAGGCTTTATTTTATTATTTCTTTTTTATTCTGAAGCTTTATTTGATGTCTTCTTAAAATGTTTGCCAAAATGGAAAAACGAGGGACTGTTTTAGACCTTACACTTCTGTAATGGACAGAAGACTGGAAATTTTATATGGACATACAGGGATGTGCATAAACTTCAGCTTGGTTTCCAGTAAAGCCAGCAGAGTCTTAAAGAAATCCCATTATGTTAACATTCTGTGCTTCATATTGTGGAGACTTCCCTTCTACACCTACCTTTGAGAATTTAACTCCTATAATAGAGGGTATAGTGTTTCTTTTCCTCAACTGTTTCATTTCTGCAGTTAATACGGAGTGTTAGTCAGGTGGATCTTCTATAAAAGTCAAGAACAAACTATTATAATATGTTTGACAGGATTTAGGGAATACAATGCATGAATCATTATTCCTTATTTTGTACAAGTATATTAGTTTCTTAACTGATTAAAGGAAACTGGAGAGACAGGAAAGCTTTATTCACATAATAATATCTATTTTTCTTTTATTTGTGTTTAAAGGCAAACATTTGCTTTTTCATGTTTGAGCTTGTTACAATGCTGTGTAAAACCACAGCTCAGAATATTAATGAGACGAAGAAAGAAAAATAATTACCTGTAGACTAGGAAGTCTCTCAAGTCTTTTCGCAGACAGACTTTAAACATTAGTTTTGGTTAATTCATTCAGCCAAGAAAACCAACAGTTTGGGCCACTGTAAGCTTTCAGTTTGATTCCATTATAGCTGTCACTCAGCTGTGCTGAGATGCTTACAATCAAATTAGGGATTATTGGCACTGTCTAGGGCAATATTACTGAATATTTTGCATCCAAATCCATAACTGTGGAAATTCTGTTTATCTTATAGAAATGCTCGAGATTGTCCAAATTGCTGGAGTCAGTTTTTGTGCATACACATTCCATACTTTAATGCAGTTAGGCAGAATTTCTGAGTGGGCAGAACTGCACGGTGAACCAGGAAGAGCATGATAACAGCTTATAAATTTTTGATGGCTTACAAATTCTGTATGTGAATTACTTA